TTACAACTCAATAATAAGTTAGGAAAATTAACTAAAGATGAGCAAAATATTTGAATGGGCACTTCATCAGAGAAGATATGTGTATGGCTAATAAGCATATGAAAAAAATCATTAATCATTAAGAAAATGCAAATTAAAACTGCAGTGAGGTATCACTTTGCACCCACTGGAGTGGCTGTAATAAAATAAGACTGACAATACCAACTGTTAGTGAGGATTAGTAGAAATCTGAAACCCTTATACACTGATGAGAAAAATGTAAAATGATACAGGCACTTTGGAAATAGGTTTGGAAGTTTCCTAAAAAGTTAAACATGCACTTATTATATGATCTGGTAAGTACACTCCAGGATATTTATTTACCCAGGAGAAGTTAAAATACATATTCACAGAAATACATGTATGTCATTGTCATAACAATCTTATTTAGAACTAAAGGCCCAGTGCAGGAGATTCATGCACTTGGTGTGTGTGTGGGGGGGGGGGGTGGGTGGGGGGGGGATTCTCAGCCTGGCCTGCACACTCTGGCAGTCCAGGAGCCCTCAGGGAATGTCCAACTGCCAGGTTAAGCCCATTCCCAGGGAGCAGGCCCAACCCAGCAGTCAGACATCCTTAGCGCTGCTGTGAGGTAGGAGAGCCTCCCGCAACTGTCTCTGTGTTCCCCAGCCATGAGCCCAGCTTCTTGCTGAGCAGTGCTCCTTCTGTGGGAGTGCACTGACCACCAGGGGCCAGCTCCTGCTTTGAATGTTTGCCCCCAGGTAGTCAGTGCACATCATAGCAACCAGTCGTTTCGCCTTTCACTGTTCCATTGATTTGCATATTAGCCCTTTATTATATAGGATCGCTAAATATGGGAAATTGGCGAGTGGATAAACAAAATGCAGTACATATATTCATACAAAGAATACTGCTCAGAAATTAGTAATGAACTACTTATCCTTGTAACAACATGGTTAAACTTCAAAACCACGATGCTACATCATAAAAGCCAGACCAAAAAAGCTGCATGTTGTATATGAAATTTCTAGAAAGAAGAGAGGGAGGGAGGGAAGGAGAAAGAGAGGGAAGGAAGAGAGAAAGTGTATCAGTGATTGCCTGGGTTATAGATATGATAGGAACTGACTACAAATTGAGCACAGGAAAACTTCCTGCATGATGAAAGTATTTTAATCCTTCAATCTGATGATGGTTGCACAATGAAATAATTGCACTAAAACTCATTGAACTGTATAAGCAAAACATGTCATTATTTTGGTGTATAAGTTGTACTTTAAAGATAAAAAAAATATGTCTATTCTGGAAGTAGGAATTTGAGACTCATTAGCATATAGATGGCCCCTATAATTATAAAAGTGGAGAAGATACCTAGAGAAAGTCCATTGAAAGGGAAAATTTAAGAACCTGGTACAGATCCCTATGGACTAGTAATGCTTAGAGCACCCAGCACAAAAGAAAATGAGAAAATGTGGTTATAGAAGTAGAAGAAAATATTATAGTGTCTCAGCAAGCAAGTATTGCTCAGAGGGTGCTGGTCAAAATAAAAGCTATAAATGGCTCAAAGAAGAAAACACACCAGAAGGTCTCTAATGGTGGCTCCTGAGACCTTGGAATGAGAAGCTTCTGAGGAGCAGAAAGGGAACAGGGCGATCTGGAGTGAACTTTGAAGTGAGTGAGGAGCAATGGGATGCAGACAAGAAGTATGGAAGGTCTGGTTCAATGTTCCTCTGAAAATGGAAGGAGGCAGGTGAAGCAGAAACTGACAGGAGATGCAAGTGAGAGGTTTTTGTTTCCATAAAAGATTCAACTGTATGTTTCACTGTAGTTGGAAAGAAGTGAGTAGGAGGAAGAGTGTTGAAGATTCAGAGTAAAGGGCATAAATTTAAACATAAATTGCATGAGAAGAGAGAAGATGAAATTGAAAGCACAGGCTGAGGGATAAGTATTAAAGAGAGAATGAAACAGTTCTTCCATGCATAAGAATAAAGGGAATGATGGAATAGATGTAAGTGAATTCATAGATTTCAAGGCATCCAGGGAAAGCTTCTTGGATGGCTTCTGTTTTCTCTGTAGGAAGCATGGTCATCTGAGAGTAAGGGCAGAAATCCCAATACTAAGGGTTTGAAGGTATTAGAGTAGTTTAACAACCTAGAATGAGATTAATTATCACGAATTTACAATGGTGCTTAATTGCCCACTTATATAAATGTCTCTAGAATTAGTCAACAGCCTAGGAACAAGAGAGAAGATGGATAGTTGGATTCTCTGAGCTTGGCGCCATTGGGAAGACAGAGAAGGTCCAGGGTGTGTATAGTGATAACAGAGCAGTTGAAGGATAGATCTTGAGTATGGAAAAAAAATGCAGGCACTGGGGGCTGATGGACATCACCTTCACTTGGGTTACCCTGAAACAAGGTTCAGGACAATGCTTGGGGCAGGTAGTTTATCTGAGAGAGATCTCAAGAAACAGGTGTTAGGGGGTGGAAAGTATAAGTCAAGTAACAAGAAAAAGTTAATAACAGGGTGTATTTTAAGCTGGTTATCATTGTAGGGGACTGGAACTGAGTTACGCTGGGGACCTTCTGAGGAATCATGTGGAACATGCCTTGCAATTCTCATGACAGGCTAGAAAATGGACATGGACACATGAATCCACCAACTCCTGTCACTTTTTGGTGGAAGACTGCTTCCAGGGATCATATAGCCTTCCCCACACTGCGTTACTTCCTGGCTGCCTTCTGGGAATGAAAAAAATACTCCAGCTTCAGAAACACCACAGTTAGGAAAACAAAGATAGGAAGGAAAGTTGAGCTTGAGGTGAGATGTCGGCAGCACCTATAGGAACTGAACACCACAACTTGAGCTGAAAACTGAAGGAAGTTGAGGGCATGTGGTACAAGGTCAAATTAGACCAATTGAATGAAAGTCCCTATGAATCAAAGTAATTGAGCAAATAACTTGAGATAATAGGAGGAGTTCTTTGACCGTGTGAAAGTTACATATGTCCCCTGAGATGTTCATTTATCATCAGTAAATGGAGACGAGAACCCCCACTGATAATTACTGCTAGAATCTAAAAGAGTCCTTACTACAGTATGCAAGCACTTCGCATGGGGTCTGGCATGTAGGAATGAATATAAAACAGGAGCTAGTATATTATTGCTGGTGTCTATTGAAACATTAGTAATGTTAGTAACTACTGTACCTGCATAATGGATAATAATTGATTAATTCAACCTCTATAAAAAGGTTTCCCTACTTTCCTAAATGTAATAGCTTAAATACCAAAGCATTGTGGTTTAATTCGGAAGGACATTAACTTTTCACATAGTTTTGAAGTTAGTTTCATCAAAGAATAGACATTAGAAAAACCTTAAATGTCATCTAATTCCCATTCATCCTCTTTCCTTCGGTTGGTATTGCACTTTAAGTTTCTATAAGTCTATTGATAGAATGATTTACTGTATTTTCCAAGAAATCTTCAGAGATGTTCTGTTGGGTTTGTATTTTTAATTTTTGCATCTACTCTCCAACAACTTCTGGTGGTAAATAAAATTTCCTTTAATTCTAGCTTAAATCTGTAGTGCTGTGTTTTTACTCATTTTCTCCCTAGTGAATAAAAAAGGAACAGCTGGTTACTATTGTCAACTTTCTTTTGTTTAGGAGTTATTTAGTATGCAATGCTTGAATATCATTATGTTTTTGTCTGGATATAGAACTCCCCCTGCCTCCCCCCACCCCCAAAAGAATGATAGTATTTACAATGGAGGTGCTTTAGAGTTCACCTAGTCCCAAACATAACCTGATGAATTAATACCAGTTAAAATATTAATGTCATCTTGCATTTCGTTTTTATTGCTTGTAGTAAATTACCTTATATATCCTTTGCTCAGTTACCAATTGAGATATTATTCTTTTCCTTATGTATGATAAAAACTGTGTGTTAACTAGTAAGTCACCGTATACTTTTCCCCATTTTTTCACTTGCCTTTTTGTTTAATTTGTGGTATTTATTGTTGTCTTACAAGTATATAATTAATATTTTGTCACATATATAATTTTTTTCTATTATAAATTTCTTCTCTAGGTTTCATGCTTAAAGACATCTTACTTACTATGAGCTCTAAGCTATGTTCACTTATATTTTCTTCTGCTCCTTTAATATTTTCATTTTTAAGTGGGCTCTCTAATCTATAGAGAATTAAATTAAAGACTGCACATTTATTCTTAATAAAGTCCATGCTGTTTATTATATCATTCCAGCCTGTTGTAACATTTCATATTACAAATCTGTTACATATATCTTCATGATATATAATATATCAGTGGTTCTCAACTGGAGGCAGTTTTGCCCTCTGTGGGAAATTTGGCAATGTCTGGAGACATTTTTATTTTTCAAGATTGAGAGTAGAGGGGCTGAGGGAGAAGCTGGCTACTGGCCTCTAGAGAATAGAAGCCAGAGATGATGCTAAACATCCTACAATGGAGAGAAGAGCCGAAACAAAGGATATCAATGATGCCAAGATTAAGAGAACTTGATAAGTGAGAGATATTGATCCACTGGGTGCCATTTCTCTACCAGTTTTATACCCACTGTAGTAATATAACCTAGTCTGTATTTCTTTTTCCTACTCATATTATTTCCTTATGATACAATCTCAGAAGTGAAATCACTGAGCCAAATGAAATGAACAGATTTAAGACCCTGATATATGTAGTCAGATTGCCCTCCAGAAAGTTCCTTGTTGCTTATAGAGGCAAATAAATAATCCTTGTTTTATTTCTACTCTAATCATTTTTATGCAGCTTTACTTAGACCTATAAACCTCTCTCTGATTCTACAATAGAACTCAAAATTGTTTTTTAAGGAAATGTTTCTTTCAAGGAATTAACAAAGTAATCACATTTTTATAAATACCCAAACAGTGTAACTTTTATTTTTTTCTTAGTAAAGGTTCTTTTTATATATAATATTTTTCATTGTATAAATTGTTTTTTTCTAGGGTGAACAAGGAGAAAAAGGCGATCCGGGTCTGGCTGGCATTAATGGAAAAGATGTAAGCCCAACTCTCTTTTTTAAAAAAATGGCAAAATTAGCCTTTCACCCTACATGTTTAACATGTCTCTTATTTTCCCACTAACTCATGCCACCCTTGTTATTGTCTATTTTTCAATGACGAAGTAAACAGACTCTGCAAGCTAAAAATCACTCGGCACTTATGACAGTGACTTTGACTTTCAATAAGCACAGGTACACATTCGTAGGGAATGGAGGCTATTATAATAGCTATTTCCATTTGAATTGAAGTCAAGCCATGATGGGGATTATAACTTCAGGAATATTCTGTTAGAATGTGTAGTGAATGAACTCAATGGGCCAGCTCATTCCAGCTTCTTTCCAAGTCAGAGAAAATTGGAAGAATTTAATATTCCTACTGTACGAACCAAAGGCATTTTTTATAGTCTTTATTTTTACATATTACATATACCTTGATATAAATGTATCTTTTAATAATTTCTGTGCAAGCTTTCCTACAAAATGTGCAAGTTCTCTTCAGAAAGTATAGACCTTGTTTGAAGGGGAGGGTGCAGTGGTTTGGTCTCTCTCAAGGGGATAATGTTGGCATTTGGGGCAAGACATTTCTTTGCCATGTAGGACTGCCTTCATTAGAAGAAAAAAAAAAGGCTCTGACATCTTTCTAAGTTCAAGCTTGACTCTCTTTCTCTCTCTCCCTCTCTTTTCCTCCTCCTCCCTCCGTGTGTGTGTGTGTGTGTGTGTGTGTGTGTGTGTGTGTGTGTGTAAACTGTGGATTGATCTCCAGAATATTTGAGTATTAGACCAACGGTATTGACTAAACACATACAGTTTAAATATTAAATACTAGAGGCCTGATGCACGAAATTCATGCAAGGGGCTCAGCCCTTGCAGCACCCCCTTCACCCAGAAGGTCATCAGAAGGTCATTCAGCTGTCTGGTCTCTTTAGCATATTATACTTTTATTATTATAGATTGCATACAAAATGTATAGTTTAAATAATGCATGGCAGACATATATTGAAATTGTCAAAATTTTGAATTGCTACAAATTAGCCTTCAAAATACAAGAGCCCAGGTTTAAGACATTTTAGTTTATAATTAAGTGATTATGATTGTGACCTACTGTGAGACACATTCAGCAATGGCATTTCAGAGGAAGACTTGAGAGGGAGACTTGCAACATTGTTAATATGGCCTTTGATGACAGATTACTGGGCTCAGATCCCAGCTCAGCCACTGCCTGGCTGTTATACTACTTAGTACATTACTTATACTCTCTGGCCTCAGTTTCTTCATTTACACAATGGGGTATTCATATTAATAAAACTTAATGCAGAGGCTTTTGCTGAGGATGATAGGGCTTATCCTATGTAAAGCATGAAAAACAAGCCTCACATACAGTAAGAGCTATGTAAACCTTTGCTTATTTTTTTTTTAGAAACTATATTAAATAAAATACGCCTGTCTCCAATAGAAATAGCTATTCACTCACTTGTTTTGGGGAATTATATAATCTTAGGAAAGTAGATTTCAATCGCTGAGTTTAGTCTCCTCCTCTGCATCTTTATTATTGTCTTTCAAACATTCCTTATCAGAATTACGGCAACTGATGTCCCTAAAATAATCATGTTAATCTCCTTATACCAATGCAGTCTGTAATCCTGAATAAAAAATATTTGAATAGCTGGTGCCATTGCTGGGGAGTAAGATGCAGACAGTGGAAGATGGGTAAAACATCATTGATTGGTTAAAAATTTTAACAAATAACATTATTTTGTATCATCTTCTGATTTTCAAAAATGCTACATATCATGAGTAGATCTTCCAATAAAAACTAATTTCATCATCTACCTGCTTTTATAAATGTGGTTACAATTGTCCTTCAGCTTTCCACTTGCCTTTGAATGAAGTGTTGTCTCTGCATCGCATACAGAATCAACTACTATACTTTTGAGAATCTTTATATACATGAATTTTATTGAGAACCATGGTAATAGATGCCTACCCTATTCAATATTGAATTCAGAGTCTGTTCCATTTGATTCTTTATGCTTTGTGGTGAGCAATATGTCTTTTTCTCCCCAGTATTCAATAACCACTGATAGCAGCACCAGTGTGACATGAGGAGAAAAATTGCACTTGAGAAAAGCATTACAGATCTGTTTCTCAGAACCTATTATGATGCCACAGCCTTAAAATCATTGTACTCTGTCACAGGAAGCCATGAGTTACATGGGCCCACTTCAGTGGCCATAAAAGCAGAAGCTTGACGAAAGCAATACTTCTCAATTGCATTTTATCCTCATGTGAGTTAAAGCACAATTGTACATATCCATCAACTTGAGTACAAAACTCAACTATTGATTATCCATTCAACTTGACTTGAAAAGTAGAAGCAGCATTTATTAAGTACCTACCATGTGCTAAGTGTTCTTACAACATATGATTCTCAGAACTACCTTTCCAGATAATTATTATTTATGGTGTATTTTATAGAGAAGCTTAAATAACTTACAAAAGGTTATGCATAAAATGTGACTCCTGCCTGGCCAGTTGATTCAGTTGGTTGAGTGTCATCCATACACCAACAAGGTTGCAGGGGTTTTTTTTGTTTTGTTTTGTTTTTAAGTATATTTTATTGATTTTTTAGACGAAGGAAGAGAGATAGAGTTAGAAACATCGATGAGAGAGAGAGACATCGATCAGTTGCCTCTTGCACACCCCCTACTGGGGATGTGCCACAATTAAGGTACATGCCCTTGACCGGAATTGAACCTGGGACCTTTCAGTCCAAAGACTGACGCTCTATTCACTGAGCCACACAAGTCTTGGCAAGGTTGCAGGTTTGATTCCCGGGCAGCACATATACCTAGGTTGCATGTTCAGTCCCCATGACATATGAGAACTCAACTGGTCAATGTTTCTCTCAGACATTGATGTTTCTCTCCCTCTCTACCACCATCCTGTCTCAGCCATCCTGCTCCCTTGCCTGAAAAGCTGCTATAGCTCCTTTTCTGCTTCCACTCTTGCTGCCTTTAGTCTATTTTCATGTTGTGGCCAGTGGTTTATTTTTGAAACACAGTGACAATAGGTTATTTCCATGTTTGAAACATTAAGTGGCTTCCCATTGTACTTAGAACAAAACCTATCCTTCTTACCATGGACAGCAATTAGCATCCCATGACCCCTGGCTAACCTTGACTTATTCTCTGGTTCCTGGTCTGCTTACTCATGACACTCCTTCACCCCAGGGGTGGCTGTGTGCTATCTGTTCCCTCAACCCCAGTGCTTTTCCCAGGATCCTTGCATGGCTGGATCTTTTGAAACAACAAATGTCATCTACACAGAGAGGCTGTTTCTGACCACCCAGCTGAAGTAGTAGTTCTCTCTTCCTTACCAGCTTATCACATTCTGCCTGTTGACCTATTTATTGCCAGTCACCTTTCTCTTAAAGCATGAGTTCTATAAGGGCAGTGATCTTGATTTTTGTTAAGGAAAAAAAATATTAAAATGGTAAGGAGAAGGACTTTTTATTTAAAACTCTAGCTTGTCTGGGTATTACAATAGGGAAGAGAGATTGTGTCCAACCCTGAATATCACATTTTTGGTCTATAACTACTCCAAGATAATGATGAAAGAAACATCGCTATAAGTTACATCCACAAAGGTGTTTATGCAACTGCAAAGGTTTTTTTTTGTTTTGTTTTATTTTTAATTAGGTGCTGTTTTCATTCTTTTTTTTTTTCTTAAAGACTACAGTTTTCACATATTCTCTGCAACAAGATTTTAAGTATCCAGTTTCTTTTGTTCCTTTACATTTATCATTGGGTTCTGCATTGAGTAAGCTATAGGTGATGGCATTAGGCATTGTTTATTTACTACAAAATGTCACAGCAGTGACAGCTGGACCCTTCAAGAATAGTAAGATGCCTAGATTCTCTGTGTATTGTATGGCTTCGGAATATTTCTTTTTCCAGTATTGTTCTTCCCTTATTAAATGTGTTAAGTACAAGGAAAGGTATTTTTTCCTATTTACCACACAGTCAGAGTGTGTCTATCTAGCTTTCTTTGTATTTACACTGTGAGTACATTTGGCCATAAAACTGATCTCCTGTGGTGAAATGTGTTGTGATATTCTGAAAGCTGTCATTTCTGAGTCAATCAACTAAATACCCACTAAAATACCCAAGCGTCTAGAAGATTTAGGAATATATTTACTATCTGGTATGCTGTATTTTATATAGTTTTATTTGATAGCTTCATAAATCCAGGTTTAAAAAAAAAAGAGAAATTCAAGAACTAATCATATTTTAAAATAGAAAAGAGATTACATTTTAGCTTCAGCTTTGTGAGTGATTGGAAAAGAATACATCTCTCATTTCTTTTCCCCAAACAATGAGATTTCTTGATAGAGACATAAAAATATTTTTTATTTAAATCTTGAATTTTGGGGGCAAATTAATGCTAAATCAGAGGTATTTACATCATCTATACATTTAATCCAAAGTGGATACTTAAAGTTTATATAGATCTAAATGACGTTCTCCCAGGTGGTGAATTAATGTTATTTTAGCAGGAAGCAAAGTTGCACAGATATGCACAATGGAGGACTCACACTGATTGAACCTATCTGTTCCCACCCCGGCGCAGATGTTGCTTGTCATTTCACTGCCAGTTATCTCTATTTCTCTCCATTCCACACACTGCAGAATGGGGTTTGGGAGCTCAGTAAATTATGATTTATTTTGTGACTAATGACTCATTAGAAATTGAAGCTTTCTGTGCACTGTGTATAGAAATCACATTGGTGTTATTTTTTTGTACAGGGTTTGAAAGGTGACTTGGGTCCCCGTGGAGCACCTGGTCCCAAAGGAGAAAAGGTATTAGACTCACTGAGAAAAGTGCTGATCTTTTCTTAGGAAACTCCCGAGAACCTGGGCAGTGACTTTTCATTGATGCTGTTTGACTGCCAAAAGTTAATTTTATTCACATGAACCAAAGGCTTTTATGTTAAAGGCATCTGAACAAGAAAAGCCTTTTTTTTTTTTTTGGTTAATTAATTAGATTGAGGAGACTAAATGCACAATTGCTAGTCAACATTAATTTGTGCTTATAAGATTTCCCTTTTCTCTTTCTTGCTTAACAGCATTGGGTATTCCATCCCCAAATTAGCAACCGTGTCCTGTATCAGGGAACTTTGCCAGGAACACTGAGCTGCTGCTGTAATGGTGAAGCAGGTGGCCTTTGGGGGGAAGGATGCTAATTTAGCATCTTAGTCTAAATGCTCCATTTCCTGCCACCTTTTCTTATATGCCCTTTTACTAGTTTAGTGGCATATTGGCAATTGACCTTGAAAAGAGAATTAAGAAATAGTAAAAGCAAGAGTCATTTGGCGCAAGGTCATTGGATGATCCCAATTTGATGAGAATTGTAGGCGTGGGTGTTTTGCACTATATGTAGTTCTCCACCATCAGCGCATTTAGAAATCCTTGTCTGTCAATATTTACCTCTGCCTTAAAGCTGGTCCTGTAAATCGGTCCTCAGTGAGTCATTTAAGCTACATCAATGTTTCTTAACAAGGATTGGTCATTTGTATTCAGCCATTCCCCCAAATAGTGATTACACAATGCTGTCTTAACTTTTGAGCTGACTATATTAGATGAGAAAAGAGAAAGTTATAGAGATACTTTCAACCTGAGACTACAAGGTCCCAGTGTCCCATGCCACACAACATATGCTCTCCATTGTCTCCACTTAAATAAGGATTAGAGCCATGATGCTTGGTCTTAACGACTCAGAGTTCTTATGAATTAAACAGGGGCACTGATACAATAAGGTGGCATATGGGTGGACATATTTACATATCAGAAAATAGTGAACTTTTAAATGAACCATTTTTTAAAGATGTTGACTCGTTTGTCAATACATCCATCTGGTAATTTGTATTCACATACATCAGCAAAGCAATGCTAGTATTTAAAAATACATAAATATGAGCAGAGCCTTTTACAATTAATGGCAAGTGCAATGCCAATGCAGCCGAGTGTTAGGAGAGGAAATGGGACCACTTCTTGCAGCTGGGAGGCATGAAGTGGGGACATCCATTTATTATTTCTGCTGATCCTCACACTAACTTTGTCAGAAAAAGTGCCCGTCATTATGACACATCCCAGCTGTTGCATTGGCAAGTAATCATATTTGAAGAGATATTCTTTCTAATTTTGGTTCAGTGGACAAAAGTATAGAAATCAGATTATTTTAGCTTTTCAAAACAAGTCCTGTGAAAAGCACGAGGATGCACCAGGTGATATTTATAGCATGAGAGTTCAAAGCAGGTGATGCATCTCTCCGTGTGCTTTTATCAAGATAAACTTCTATTTTCCTTTTCTTCAGGATTTATTTATCTATTCAGATATTGTTTCTGTCTATTCAGAAAATTTATAAAGATTATGTGTAAAAAGAGGTTACTGGTAACTGCAACTTTAATTTATTTTAGGGTGAAACAGGACCTCCAGGACCACCAGCCTTAACTGTAAGTATGCTTCAAGTCAAAATGCAAACTTGAAATATGTTATCCTACTTATCATTTACACTACATCATGCTACACCAGAATTTAACCCATAGACTATTTTGAGAATTGATAGTAACTTCAGGGTGGAGTTAGCCAAACCTCCAAATGTTAAAAAATGGGGCATCTACTCACAGTAGTAACATACTTGAACTGAGGTTACATAAGTGGTTACTAGAAAAGTCTGGAAGCAGTACCTGTCCTGAGCAATACCTACCTTCCTTCCCTGCGGTTCATAACTTTACCCGCCTAGATGGTTAATTATACATTCTTAATAGGACATTTAAAGTTAATGGAAGCAGGGACAGTTCTGCATACTCTATAAACTGAAAAAGAACAAAATAAACCATAATCACCCAGTGGTAAGAACAGCTACCTATTTAAAGTGGATTGTTACATTTCCCCACACCTGTCCAAGACTATTGTTTTTTTCTGTATGATTTGATTATAAGATTTGCAAATGATAAAATGGTGATATTTCAGAAACAGATTTATGATAAAAATGTATAAAGTGCACACAATGGGATTATTTTCATTTAAATGGTTCATCATTTATTAAGAATTTAATCATAAATATGTAATCATTTTATATTTATATACAATTTACTACTATAGATTTTGTTCCTAGGCCATTAAGGATTCTCATTTAACTTAAAGAATTGATTTAAGAATGACTCTAAGCCTAATAGAAAAGAAAAAAAGTTTTTAATTAAAGTATGATCGTTTATAGCCTGAGGTCTCTCGAATTTAATGTTGGTGTGACTTAATGACATAAGTTAAGAATTTAAGTCATCGTTTTTCAAAGACCTGTCCTGGTTATAAAAGCTCACATTGAAAAAAATCTTCTAGCATCTGTATGCAGCTTTTCCCAACAGAGCAGAACAGGAATCTCAAAAGCTGTGTATGGCTTTGATAACATTTACATATCATTATATACTTGACAATGTCATTTGGACAATACTTTAATAATGTCTTATACCAAGCATGTCAAACTTGTGGCCCACAAGGAATATTTTTGTGGCCCGGCCAATATAATGGTATGTAAAAAAATGTTTTAATAAAAATTTCATAACTTAAATTTTACATTATCCTGTTATACATAATTATTAATAACAAACTACAACGTTCACTAATGACTGATTACTATAATCATGTTGCATTCATTTTCCTATGCACCTTACGCACTGGCACACCATTTCTCTCCACTAATACTAGCAGGGAATATTTTAGCAGCTGATTGTCACATCATTAGTCTTGTACTGACTTGTTTGGTGTGCACAACAGGAAATATTTCACTTTTAGAGAATAAGAAAAATAGGTTTATTTGTGTAATACTTATTAATTTGTGTAGTTTATTCATTGTCTGATAAGTTAATGTTCAAGAAAAAACATTAATTTTTATAAAAATGTTCTATTATTTTATGTTAATGGTTACTCATTTATTTTAGCCCTCTGTATTCAGCATGTCTCTATCAAAATAATCCTGTTTCTATAAAAATTGAAGCTTTTGTGTGTTTTTTTTGGCCCGTATAAACTTAAACCTTGTTTATTTGGCCTTGGTTAGCTTTTGAATTTGACATGCTTGTCTTACACATAGTCTTTGCAGTGCTTACTTAAGGGACAAGTATAAATAGAAAAATCTAAGAAACCAAAAAGATGACTTTATTAGGAATAACCAAATTCTACTTGCAATGGAATTCTGTGCTTGAAGCTTTTGTTTTCAAGATGGGAATAAAATCTGTGTATTTAGAGGAAGCTTTCTCTGTATATTATTCAATTTTTATACTATGTGGAATTTATTTTTAAAATTATTTGGCAGTGATTTGGGGTTAAGTCCCCTGCTTGTTTCTCTTCAATCAAGTAATTTTCTCAACTAGTTCCAAAATGCAGTTTATCAGTGTATCAGTTCACTGCATGTGCAGTTTTGGCTCTGTAATCAGAAAGTTGTATTGGATGGTATCAGTTTTGTAGATTTTTTAATGACAGCTGATGTCTTCCTGCCAAGTAGCACCCTATAGGTGTCTCTTGGCACTACTCAGCTGGCAGATACTGAGTAGTACAAGCTAATGTTTATACTTAACTAAGGATATGTCAAGGCAAAACGACAATGAAAGGAAATGTTTTATTTCATAAAGGAAAAATATCTGTACTATTTGGATATGACCATCTGATACTTGGCATTACTTTATTTTATTTTTTAAAATATATTTTATTGATTTTTTACAGAGCAGAAGAGAGAGGGATAGAGAGTTAAAAACATGGATGAGAAACATTGATTAGCTGCCTCCTGCACGCCCCCTTCTGGGGATGTGCCTGCAACCAAGGTGCATGCCCTTGATTGTAATCAAACCTGGGACCCTTCAGTCCACAGGACAACAATCTTATCCACTGAGCCAAACTGGTTAGGGCGGCATTACTTTATTAATGTAGATAATCAATTGTTAACTCTGAAATAGGGATGAACTTAAATGAATGCCAAATTACCATGCACACTAAATATTTAATTGATCTTATAATGCACATTGATACATTTTAATGAAGTGATTGATAACAGTCTCAAGGAAGCCACAATGACTGAGTCTATTATATTTGAATGAAATGAGGCACCAAACCCTGGCTGGTATTGTTCAATGGTTTGAGTGTCTTAAATTCCTAATCAAGGGCACATACCTGGGTTGCAGATTTGATCCTCAGCCCCAATTGGGAAGCATGCAGGAGGCAACCAATCGATGTCCTTTTCTCACATTGATGTTTCTGTCTCTTTCTCTCTCCTTCCCTCCCTCCTTTCCACTCTCCCTAAAAATCAATGGGAAAATGCCCTAGGGTAAAAATTAATAAAAAAATGTTAAAAAGAAAGAAATGAGGCACAAATATATAGGAGTCAATAAACTTAGAGTTCAACCACAGTGATTCTCATAGCTAGCTGCACACTAGACTCCACGGGAGAGCTTTAAAACGTACCAATGTGTGCCTCCAACCCGAGAAATTATAATTCAATAGATACGATGTGGAACCAGTACGTTTATAAAGCTCTCTGGGTAATTATGTATGCAGTGGGAGTTGAAAGCCACTGTTTCTGGCACTATAATGGAACAAGCTTTCTTTTCCTACTTGGAAAATTCCTTGAGACTTTTGAAGAAAGCCTAGCTTTCATCTTAAATTCAACTTAATGTGTTGTAATAAAGAAATAACTTTCCATTTGGGAGGCATAATAGTAAAACTAAAGTGAGACTGAAGCCTGTTTGGGTAAGTGGAGGAAATGAGGGCTAGGAAGGTATCTTTAATTATAGCCTTAACCTAACCATTCAAGGACTCCTGTGGGCTCTCGGACTGAAGACAATCTCAAAATTTAATGTGCATAGGAACCTTAGGGGTCTTGTTTAAATGCACATTTCATTCCATAAGTCAGAGGTGGGGGCCTAAGATTCTACATTTGTAAGGAGAGGATGGGGATGCTACTGGTCCTCAGACCACACCTGGAGTCACAGGGCTTAACATCTAACTATGCTGCAGACTCCACTTCCACAGATCGGTGCTTCTCCACCTGTAGTGCACATTAGAATCACCTGAGGTGCTTTAAAGGCTCCAATTCCCAGGCTGTACCTTATGCAAAAAAATAAAAATAAAAATGAGAATCTCTCATCTGTTTAATTTCCCCCCAGCACTTCCAATGTGCAGCCAAGGGTGAGAACTAATGCTCTGAAGGCGTGTCGAATACTTTTCTCCACAACTTCCTCTTTCAGAGCCGGAGCCAACATTTTAGATACTTCAGCATCTGTATCAAAAACACCCAACCTGACAACTTTCAGAAGCACTTCCAGGAAATGCAGACTCTCTATTAGTACCGGTGATTTGGTTCCTGATTAATTGATTCTAGAGGATGACCAGTACCTTCCATCTGCACATTTACAACCCACTTGTACATCCATCAATAATCCTTTTTTAAAAATTAATTTCTTTGTTAATTAAGGTATCATATATTTGTCCTCAATCCCCCCATTCAATTCCCCCCCTCACTCATGCCCCCACCCCCCTATTGTCCTTGACCATTGGTTGGGCTCATATATGTGCACATAAGTCTTTTAGTTGATCTCTCCCTTTTATTCCCACCCTCCCTTTGAGGTCTGACAGTCTGACCCATGGCTCCTTATCTCTTGGTCTGTTTTTGTTCACCAGTCTATGTTGTTCACCATTTCCCCTAGATGAGTGAGATCATGTCCTACTGGAAATATACTTATAAGAATAAAAAATGAGATAAGCAATAATCGTTATGCTGAAAGGCATTTGAGCAGGACTCAGCATTAGCAAGTCCAGCACATAGAACCTCAGAGACCAAGCATACAGACCTGAACTGCCCTGAATAAATACGGGTGGGAAATGTTGAACACTTTTTTCCCTGGAAAGCATTCACACCATATTTGTTTTGGTTTTATTTTAATTTTGCTTAATAAGAAATTGAGAGCAATAGTAATTGAGCACACTGAAACACTAAGTTTACTGATGCAGGGTAATCCTTTTGGATACAGGACTTTTTGAGGATTGTGTTTATCACTGGTATTTTCATGTCCCTGTGGATTACTGTGCTTTGGCTATTATTTTAAATTTTAAAAATCATGTAGAACCATTTTATTTCATAAATCCAATATATAAAACTATCAATCTATTTTAATGAAATGTTACTTTGTTTCTTGGTTATACTTTCCTTAGAACTGGTGGTATAAAATTGGGTCTTAGTGGAGGAGATGGATAAAGGAATGAAAGAAGCCAAGTGTAGAAGAAATAAGGAAAGGCAACCTATGAAATGGGAGGAAATACTTGCAAACCATATATCTGATAAGGGGTTAATATAAAAAATATATAAGAAACTTATATAATCCAATAGCAAACACACACACACACGCACACACACACACGTAATTACATAGACTTTTTTTTTCCAAAAAAGACATACAAACTGCCAACA